TTATTTTTAAAATATAAATGATAATAGTAGTATTAATAAGTTATAAATAATTATTTTAAATCCAATAAGATCCCTCAGAACTTTCCAGAGTTACAGTATATACAGTAGTAAGTTCAATACCTTCTAAGTAGCTGTATTTTCTACTTTCCAGATTTTTGTTTTCTTGTAGATACTGAAGTGCTTCTTTTTAGCTTGTTGTTGTTGACACCTTTCAGGGCTTTACCTAGATCACATCCCTAACTGATCTCCTTTGGTAAAGACTAAATACATTCAGTTCCTTTAATCTAACTATGCCATTAATTTCAGACACCAAAATAATCAGGTCACTCTTCACTGTGCTCTTCCTAGAAATGCCTTTTTTATAGCAGTACTGTGGAAAAATGAATGCACTGAACTAAATGAGGTATGGTGGCAGTGTGATCTATTTCCAATCTCACATGCCCTGACAGGTAACATATCTGAAGCCCTTTTACACAGATCTTGTGTCAGTATTGGCATTCTGTCACAATCTTCCAAACTGAGAAAACCAAGCTGTGTTTCTTGAAGAAGTAACAGCGGTAATGGATATAAACAGAGAATACAATATGGTATATTTAGACTTTAAAGATCACCTGAATCGTCTTAGTCTTGAGCAGGAACAATGATGAGGTCACCTGATCCAATTATTCAAAATCCACAAAGACATTAAAAAAAATCAACCCATTGGATTTCTTCAGAATCAGCAGTGGATTACAAATAAGATGGTACAGGTGGAAACCATTAGTAAGAGCATTTAAAACTGAGAACAGAAGACCCTTTAAATAAAGGTTTGTAGATGTCTAGAACAAGCTAGTCAATTATTTTTTCAAAGCGAATACCTTGACTACTTAAAGGAAATAGCTGGATGAGATGGTCTACACACAGACACCGACTAGCAACCAAATGACCTAAATGGGTTCCCAACAACCTCTGAGCAGGGAAGTTTACATTATCCAAATGCATGTAAATGGTGTGTGTATTGTGTATTATTAAAATAAATCATACTAAACAATTCTGTCTTTTTTTATAAAAAGGACATTCTGTTTTTGTCATTTAAGGCACTTTGTTTCATTTAAAAATGGTCCATTTTAAAAAGCTTTTCACTGCATTTTCCTCCATTGCAATATACTGTACTTCATTGCTCTTGGGATGCCACACTCAAATCATTTTCAAATCCTAACGCAACTGGTGGTTCAGATGGAGATCCAAGAACAGTAAGTGTAACGAAAGCACAAAGACATTGATCCTCTTCACAAACAGGGAATGAAACTGAAATGCTCCAAGTGCTATTTTCATGTTAGAACTATAACCTGACCCTAACAGATTCTTCTCTAAAGAGGGCAGGTTATGTTTCAAGATACCCTGATTCACTGCAGCATTAATAGGTCCTGTGTTCTATAACATTTACCACGAAACAAGCCTGATTGCTGAAACAGGAAAAAATAACTTTATCCACATCTGTGCTTCACTGTTTGGACCAACTTCCATTTATGTTACAAAACTTATGTTACAAAGCTTCTGCCTTTCTATTCTTATTTTCCTATTTCAACTTATTTTCTTACAACAGTGTTATGATGGGTGATTTAACGGATCTTATTGATGGCTTATGCTAATAGTTTTCTTGTTATTATAGAAGGTGTACTGTACATGTGAGTTGATATTTTTTACCTTTCATCTTTCGATATTTTTTTCTAGACTGTATTTACTGCATAGTGCAATAAGTAACACTTTATAATACAGTGTTTGAAAGTATTAATTTTGATTTGTATTAAAATGGTTAAACTGGGGTTCAACATTTTTGAGTTAACATTTTGTGCATGTGAAATAAGTGCTTTTTTTATCTGATTCACATCCTTCTCCTTTTTCAGAATTATTTTATCTTGAGCAGAATAGCACTAAAATGTGTTACCAATATATTTTAAATTGTTAAATGGAACTGTTTTGTTTTTTTGTACAATCTCTTATTGTATGCCTTAATCAAAAATCTGTTTAAAAGTTGTTGTTTTTTTACAAAAGCCCATCGACATTACACAAAATTGTGCCCACCAAATTCTTAATGTTCCATAAAATATGGATGAATTTATTGTACCACTATTCTGTTTCTGCCACCGAATTCAAGGAAAACATTCTTCAGCTTGAAAGCACTTTTTATTGCTGTTGTTTTTTCATGGACATCTATATCAAAAGTTTGGAGATTAGTACTGTAATGTGTACAGATAAATAGTGACAGAAGGAATGTGCACTGCATTTACACTCCTTGGTTGTTTCAAAGGGCTACTGTATTTTCTCTGTAAAAAAAGCCTTGAAATGTTGCCATTTTGAAGGAAATTAAGTGGCATTTCAAATATTTTGGAGAATATCTATAAAGCCCATCAATTTTTGCACTACTTCATCCTCTTCAGGGTCAGAAGGGAGCCAGATTTTTTCCCAGCAAGTATCAGGCACATGGCAGGGTACATCCTTAACAGGATACTAGTCTATCACAGGAAACACAAAGACATATACAAACACACACAGGCCAATTTTTGCCAGAAGCCAATTAACCGACCCATACGTTTTTGGACAGTGGGAGGAAACCAGAGCACCTTGAGTAAACCCACAGGAACACAGGGAGAACATACAAACTCCACACAGATAGCACCCCAGGTCTGAAATTAAACCCAGAGCCCCAACACTATGTGGCAGCAATGTTAACGGCTGCATGACCGTGCCACCCTATCTATAAAGTCTTCTATTTAAATTGCAGCTCCATTTATAGAAATGTTAACAATGGGGCACTTAAAGGTAATGTTTTTCAGCTACAGTAGCTACTGTTTACCAGCAGAAAAAAGGGGCATGCTGATTACTTTAATTTTAGTTAATTTGCAAAATTAGCCCATTTGATTTATAATTGCTGATTTCATTTGATTTTTTTTATTGTCCAACAATGTTTGGTGGGTGACTTCAGGAGTCAGGGGTGTGACTTCAGCTGTGTTAAAAAGTATGTGAATAAGATGAGTTAAGTAAAATGTCTGGGCCTTACAACAGTGACTGAGCTACCTTTATACTGTATAGCTAGTGAAGGTCTGACATTACTAGTATATCCTTGATAAAAGGCATTTAATAATAGATGATATAGAGCTTTATGCTAAAAAGTACATTGTAAAACACTGGAGGAGAAAGGGGTGTAGAACAGGAATCGAGCCCAGATTGCTGGCAGTGTAGGCATATTCAGTACCACATCACCTGCAGAGCTATTCCCTCTGGTAAGGCAGTAATTAGGTTACGTGCATCTTCGCTGCTGCACCAGAAGACACAAATACTGCATTGCCCCCTTACCAGCCTAGCCATAGAGCATTGCTGACCACAGCACACCCAGCTGAGGTATTGAACCTGAGTCGCTCGCCCTACAGGCAAGCTCGTTACAATATCATAAATAAAATAACATGGCCTTCACCCAGCCTCCCATGTGCCTCATTAATGGGAGTTCTGTGAATATGTCCTTAGAAGGAAACGGCAAAGAAAATTCTCAAAAATGTTTAATTTTCAGTTCTGGTTAACAGGCCTTATTTGCCTTCCACAGCAAAAATGATCCCCGTTACACTTAAATGCACAATTTTTTATTAACCCACTCACTTCTTATATTTAGCTTAAAGATTCTTCTGATCAAAAAAGGCTTTTTTTGTTCAAAAGATTGAGAACCTTTGAACTGGGAGAAATGGCATCCTCTCGTTTGTAACTGTTCTTATGTTCTTATGAGCTCAAAAAGTCTAGCCGCTACAGAAGCAATTATTCACTAGATTGGTAAATTCTCCTGCAAAACCTAACCTTGAGTCTAATCCATTTCTCATGAAGCTGAAAACAGATATTCAACAGTGCCTGCCACAATTCATTGAATTTTGTTTGCTACAGCAGCTGCGTGAAATGTCACCTTTTCTGCTTTTGTCAGCATAGAGACTATAAAATATGTACTTATTTTTAACTATCCATTCAATTATCTGATTGTTTCCTTCGAGAGATCTGCAGAATGCTGCATGAAACTGGCTCAATTGTTTTGTTTATGTTTAATAATATGTGCTTTTTGCCTTGACTGCAGGGGCTAAAGTGATAATTAGAACACAAAATAGCATAAAGTACATAGGGTCAAGAATGTGTGAAGCCTATGTGTGCAGAATGTTGACATCTGCCAAACAGTATGGGCTGGATTTAGAGAGCTTCTGTTCCAATTTAAAAATGGAAGCTAAACAATTTCTTTAATGGGAAAATGCTGTAGATGTGGAATTGGAATTGCAGATGGCTCGTCTGAACTTTTAAGCTCTTTAATATTCTCCATTTAAAGAAAAAAATAAAACTTTTTATTAGTGCAACAGTTCTAGTAAATAAATGGTATCAACATTTAAACAACATGCCTATTATAATTACCTGTTTTTTCATGAAAAATAATGTAATATGCATTGTGAAGTGTTATTGTTAGAGACTGTGCAGGAGGTAGATGCTGGTAACAAAATATCATTTTTGAGTTGGAATTAAAGTATTGAGTATTTACTTAAATGTGCCTTATTTCTGTAAGGAACATAATGCTCTAGATCCCCTACCTTACAATTAAGTTTAAAAAAAACTAATGTGTATATTTTTATTTTTATTTGTGTGTAACTAGGCAGATAAATCTGCAACTTACAAATTTAGGTTAAAATGAGATAAACTGGAATCACACGAAAAAGGAAGCTGTCATTCGATGTGTGAAATTGCTTCCACTAAACATTATTTTCTCATGGGCTCAACCACTGTCATTGTAACACAAATTTGTACTCTTGCAGGTTGATAAGGTTTAGCAAATATTGCTGTGAACCACTCAGAATGACTAGAATTTCTTAACTGCAGCATGTATCAACAGATGTTTGGAAAGAAAGACAGATAACCAGATAGCTAAAGCAAGTTAGTAATATAAAAGCATCTACATATTTGTGTAAAAAAAGAAATAAAGAACCGATTGTGTCTTGCAGGAGTTTGCAGATTCAATATTCCAATTGGTGACCAAGAAATACAGCGAGCTGGCAGACAGCTGCACGTCCTTGCACGCACGCCACAAAGTCTTGGCAGGAATCGTAATGACCAGAGGTATGGCAAATTTTATTGACTTTTATATAGTCATGAATTATTTAACAGGTCCACTATATTGAAGACCAGAAGATTCCTATATACCTGCGTTTCCACTATTGATATGAGATAAGGACAGGCATTAAATATTTAAACTGCTTCTTTATGAAAAAAAGATGGGTACTGTCATATCCATTACATCCACCAAATGTATCAGATTTATTTGAGCCTTATTTCTGGGTCTTAATATGTGTTAGGTCCCATTTCTTCAAGGTAAATTTCCATCACTTGTTTTAAACCAAAAATATTCTCATGTTGTTCATATTTAAATTTCCTTGATGACTCTGTAAAATGATGTTTTTCTTTCTAATCAGGAAAATACAGTACTAATTGCACATCTGGCAAGCAACCCTCTCATTATAACAGGCCGAAATATTAACACTTTTTCAATAGATGCATCAAATTGTAATTGAGAGCTTGTTGCTGATATGAGGTCACAAGGTCTCTGGCTCATGCACAGACAGTGCTAAGTTAATTTTGGATTACAAGATTGAAGTTCAAGGAACAGAATCTCTTCAGTCTGTGACAAAGGAAATTATTGGGATTCGAGGGATAGTATTTAAATACTAATAAGACAGCTTCAATTTCAGTATGAAACAGGGAAACAGGGACCCAAGGACAAAGGCAGTGGCGCACAAGTACTGGTGTTGTTTTTAATACAGAATACAATGGTTATTATTATTATTATTATTATTATTATTATTATTATTTCACCTGACTACTAGGGTCCCCCAAGAGATTCTTTAAAATTTAAACTGCTAAGTAACCAAATCTGCAAAACTGGACAAACAACCTATTCTTGCCTGTAATACAATTTATGCTTTTTATGTTTGAATCTTGTAAGCAGTCTGATCACCATCTTCAAGGCATTTGAGGGTCCAGAGCTGTATTGGAATCTTAGTAGAGTGCTGTGGCTCATGTTTTTTGCTTTGCTGAAATCACCCTTGTGCTGACCTAATCCAATTTCTCATTTCTTACAGCCTCCAATAATTGGCATGTTTGTTTATTAATAAGTGTGTTATCTTCACAGATCCAGATGCAAGCTGTCCAAATATTTGTAGTGAGGTAGCTGAGACAGAAACACTAGGGGCTCAGTTTCAATTTTCAGATCTATCGGATATTACAGATGTCTGTAGGCACTGCCAGAATTTCAATAAATCCCAATCTTTAAACCACCTTCAATCAAGGACTGAAGAGCAATAAAGACTTGGATTAGTTTTGTACTGGAACCTAACTGATGGGGGCCTTTTATTTGGTACTTTACAAAAAATACAATCCACTAGAAAGAAATACAAAATAAAAATAATCTAGACCTTACCAGGCGCTGACATTCATAGATGGGGTTTTTCAGGTACACTTGGCAAATATTATCAGCAAGTCTACACATTCTAAAACCATAAACGCATTCATTTAAAAAGAAATCAATTGTTAATGGAACTTTCATTACATATTGGAATTAATTCTTCCTAATGGAACTTTATAATCGAACTTTCATTCATAACAGTAAACAAAGTGTTGCATATTTACATTTGGCACACAACAGTTTGCTAGGAGGTCCCATAAGAAAGCTGCAGTTGTTTACAAACTTTCAAAGATGTGGAAAAAACATTTAATGCACTCGTTGTCTGTGTTTCCCTGTAAGGCATGGTTGTATTTCGACTGTGTAAAATAGGACATCTAGTTAACATCTAGTTAACAAGAAATGTGTCAAAAATACCATATGTTCTGATATCAGAAACACAATTAACAAGTGTCTTCTCAGCCTTCCTAGATTGATTTGAAAACTGACACCCTATATTACACACAGCCAAGACCTAATGTGATTTAGAAAATGATTCAGGCAATTTTTTTTACTTTACTTTATGACTAATAGTTTAACTATTCACTTCATAAAACCCTTTTTCACTGTTCTAGTTGTCTTCTGCACTATTGCTGCTTAGTGATTTCAAACTTTTTTGACCTTAAATATTTGACAAATATTTCAAGATTAAATAAAACATGTAAAGAGTCTTTTTTATGTTCCTGTAGCTTAATGGAATGTAAATGAGCCAACATTGACCTTGACTGTTCATTTAAGTCTCAACTAAGCCATTAAATTCTAATTTTATTCTTGTTTTTTATTGCTAGAAAGAAGCAAATGTATTTCTTAAAATTAAATAATTACAAAAATGTACTCAGAAATATCTCCTGTTTTTAGCCAGCATTGGTTCAAATGGTGGCAGGCTGACACCATTAATGAGCTGAGGGCTGATTTCTACATTATTTTTCACAAAGGCATGAATAAAGAATACACTTTATTACCCTAATGATATCTTATGAGATGGATTCTACAAATAGAAAGCTTAAACCAAAACTCTATGTGAAAAGACTCATTTCTCTTAAACTTTAATTCAGGAGTAAAGGTGTTCCCCTCTCTTAAGTTCTCCTAACTGAAAACACCACAAACAGCACCTACAGTAGTTTAAGATTTCTGTGTTTATACTATCATCTTCCTCTCCAATCTCCCAGCATTCCAAGACTTACTTTGAGGTGTTGGGAGACCACCTCTGATTTCACAACAACAGAGAGGTCATCGTATTGTATTGTCTCTCCTATCTCTGCTGAGAGAAGCAAGCTATTTGCTGTTCATTTTTTTTAGATTAGGAAGAAGGAAACAAAAGAAATCAATTAGTAATTAAACTGCAAACATTAAGCATCCTAAGATTTAGGACAAAACTTTTAGATGAAGGCTTAATGGAGTGAAACAATTTCTAAACAATATGCAACAAAATGAATTGATCCCCAAAGACATAGACTGTTTGCAGAATTCCATACAATCTAATTTAAAATAATGCACATGCATGTGTAAGTTTCTGCCCATATTTAAAAATTGTAATAATTAGTTATCATTTGGGGCCTCATTCTTCATGTGTGTTCACCCATTAGATCCCATCAAATGGAAAAAAGCCTTGAGTTTTAGAGTTAGGTAAATACTGTATATAGCAGATTGATTACTTGATTGAATGACTGATCAATTGGTCAATGTGTTTTTTCTTTAGATTATAGTTTTGAGTGTTATCATGACATTGAACATTGCCTTGTCATAAAGGTGGAATGGATTAAGAGGTCAAATTTCGACCTTGCATAATAGGACATGCATTCAGGTATTGTAACTTTGAATGTGTCTTAATTATAGATTTAAAATCAATGTACTGTACATTTGAAGACAAAGAGATAAAAGGAAACTTGGTTTTGAATGTGTTGTCCAAAGATAAAATAAGGAATTTCTCCAGTGTTGAGTTGTCATTGACGATTACTTGCTATTGCTAATAAAATATAATTTAATGAATATTTCCAATTTAATCAATCCATACTGCATTACTAGGAAAAGGGTCAGAGGCTGTTAGGAAGTTAATATTATTAGTATTATTTTCTTACTTCAACTATCTCCACCCTTTTTAATCCCAAAAGAGCTTATTATTTCTTACTAGCAGATTTATCATTTCAAACATACAATATACATTTTTATAGTATATATAATAATAATAAAAACTTTATTTTATATAGCGCATTTAAAGGTGGCTTCTCAAAGCACTTTGATCATAAAATAACCATCCTTTCATGTTTTAAATTGATCATTTATCATAATATGAAATGTATTTCCTATTTTCCATTTAGTCTAGCAAAACATTGTCAAATATTAAACAATCAAGAAAAAATCTTGAATTAGTATCAAGCATTACAATTAAACCGACAATGCAGATGCTTTTTCTGTTGTACTTAAATTTGTGAAAAAAGTTTGTGTCTCTCAGTGCAGTAGCTCACCTTGTTATGCATCCTTTGGCACTGGATACTCAGGTACTATATGTCTTGTGCAGAACAAGAGTTTTTGCCCTCTTTAACATTAGGAAACTTTATGAAAGTGAACACACCAAGATGAATACAAATGCCACTAAAAGCAAGAAAAATATCACTCAGAGAGCAGTACTTGTCATCCTAAAACTCCACCAGATGTTTATTTTTAATTGCTTGATAGGTCATATCTTGAGATATAGTACAGTATGGTCATGTTTTCTCTTTGAAACGTGTGCTGTCCACAGCTTCTGTCTACTCTTGTGGTCCCATGTCACTGGCTTCTCTTAAAGTGTGTTTTAAAGGAAAAACTGCAATTACAGGAAACCACATTATATAGAATTCATTTTATTAATAATTCCTTTTCAAATTAAATACACCTAGTTTTGTTAAATTTAACTGGACTTCACAGGTTGAAGGGAAAGAAATCCAATGAATAACAATTATCTTGGTATTACATTACGGCTTTTGACATGATAAATACAAAGAGCTTTCTTCTTTTCTGAGACCAGCATCCAAAGGTCCATCTGTGTATCCTTGACTGCTGTCTGCATTTGGTTCTGTCACTATCTCTGTTTTCTTTGTGAAGCTGACAATCATTTTGATTTTAAAAGCATGCAGGCTTCTCAGCTGCTCTTCTCCTGCAATGTTGGATGGACTGAAGGGACCTTCACAACAATTTCATGCAGAGATAAAGGCTGGGGAAATTATTACATGCTCTTCTTGTGCAAAATTGATCTAAACAATTGCTAAGTGGAACAGTAGAAAAAAAGTGAAATAGACAGTGTGTCTCTGTGGTCCTTTCAACTTAGATTATCACAGAGAACAAGCTGACGCTCTGAAGTAATGCTGAATATCAATGAGACTTCGATATGGGCACCTTGCTGAGCAGTAACCTGGTACCGGCTGCAGTAATATAGAATGTGGGCATGTGAACAATTTTAAGTGTATCCTGCATAAATCTTACCATTTCTGGCATGAATTCTAAAGAATGTTGCAGTGTAGTAGCTATAGTATTTGTCTGATTATGTCAGTAGAGTTCCTATAGTAATGTGGGAAAGAACATACTGTAACTCACACAGAGTATGTTTAGGATTTGAGTTTCTGACTGTTTTTTGTAGATTTTGTTTCCTGGAGTGGTTATCCTGTCTCACACTGACAGGTTCTCTCATATTGGAGAGTAAAAGCAAATAGCAATGCTAGAAACCCCCTTTCTCTGTATGATGTATGCTTGGAAGTACAGTATTGTGGCTCAGGAAATCCAAATATTGTGGCATATTTTTTTGTAAACAAATATCTCTTCTGAAAATGAGTCGTACACAAATCTTTAAGAATCTTAACAAAAGTTCTTTCTTTTTACAAGATAATTGATGTGTTTTAGAATTCAGCTATGCACTGTAGGACTACAGTAAAGTTATATAAAATATATGAAAATATAATAAATTAGGTGGGATGTTTATGCTTGTTACCATTATCTAGTGGTGAGTGAGAGAGATCTGTTTTAGCTATTATAGTCGTTTTTTACAGACCTGTGTTTTTTCTGTTATAAATGAACAAAGTAATGGATGTACACCACCCAAGATCTATCATTAGGATTTGAATATTCGATAAAAGAAGGTTTGAAAAACCATGCAGTTAAAATTAAACAAGAAAGAAAGAACAATACTGTGGTTCAGACATTTATTCATGGAGTGATAAAGGTGACTGAAGTACAGTTTAGTGTAATGCTTTTGTGATTTTTACAGATACAAATACTTTACATGTAAAACATGAGATATATTTAAGAACTGAATAAACTGAAACATACTGTAGTCTGAGTACAAAAGAAAATCAATATAAATAAGACCTGGAACTGCGAGATTGTACAAAATACTATAAATCCATTAAGGGTACATAAGGCCATTTTTAATACATTTCCAAATCACATCCATAATACCAACTGACAGGTGTAAATATCAAATTCATTCACTTTCAAGGAATAAAGATAGAGGTGAATGTTATTTTATTCAAGGTCTTTGGGTGGCTTCTGTATATTTTCCTTTCACTTGGACCATGTTATTGTCATTTGATTGTTTTATTTTTTACCCAAAGTAATATAATGACAAGTATAGATTTTTTTTTTACGAAAGTGTAATAAAGTCTGCAAATTGGATTTGAAAGGGTATGCCTTTCACCCTACCTCAATATTACCACTGCCAGGTTTTTTCAGCTAAGGTGATGTTACTTCATGTGCAATACCGTCTGTGGCATTAGAGATAAAAGTTCATATGTTACAGAGTGCCTCCGGGTCTGGTGAAACCACTGAACCCTGAATTTTGAAAAGACAGAGAGATTTTGCCAGTTTCAACAGAAAGTACAGTTAAGCATGCTGAGCCAGCCTGTCAGAAAGCCATGCTTTATTCTGTCAAAAATCCCGCTGAAGGTTTTTTTTTTTGTATCATGCTATTGAATTGTAATCAAACAAATAGGATGTAGAGTGGCAGATGGGTCTTTTTGTGTTTGCATGTTTTGTTTTTTTTTGTGTGGTGCACACAATGCAAAACATATTAAAATGCTATATGTTATACATAGTGACAGTGCACAGGCTTTATATCTTGTAAAAATATTTGAAAAAGTATTAACTCTCCTTCAGAAAAGTACCAAATGAGGAATGTACAGTTTAACAAGATTTAGAATGAAGTTCATTTACTATATTTGGAAAATACTCACCTCTTTCCAATACTAAATCAGAACTTGACATGGCAGTTATAATGGCTCAGAAAGGTGACCTCAATTTATGTTTGGACACCTTGAATATCAAGTTACAACTGTGTCAATTGTGAAAACATGTAGATTTAATTGATTGTGTTCTTATCAAAGCAAACTCTTGCTCAAGTTTAAAGCCATTTGTGCCTGGGCACAACATTACATAAGATAATAGCTGAGCTGTTTTATCACTGTGGTAAATTGTCCATCAGTATTTGGAACAGCACATTTACCCAAAGTATAATCAGAGTCAGAAATAAATATTGCCATCCTAAAGTTTGTTATGTCTTATACCAACTTTACAGCCTGACACAAGTGAATAAAAACTGCATTTCTAGCAATAGTAATAGCACAAGCATTCAGCCAATAAATGCTTTTTTCACATGGCCAGAAACCATTTACAGACTTCTAGTCTAAAGCTAAGCTGTGTTACACTACTAACAAAAACAGGGTGAACAGGGTCAAGCGCTTAGTGCTGCTCTTCATTTCTTAATAGAGCCAAACGTGGGTTGGTATACTGTAAGTCTATTGCCTATTAAAGACAGTCAGATTTCAAAAACTAATGAAAATACATGTTGTTCCTCTGTCTTCTGTATAAAGTAGTATGTTACTTCTATGTAGGTCTGCTTATCCATGCTGTGGAAACCTTTTTGTTTTTCAGCAACATGAATCAGATTCATGACAGATTCTTCAGAAGTGGAGACAAAGTACCAAATCGCATAATTTTCAGATATAAACTATTGAAAATGTAAGGTCATGAGCCGAGTAGACATAGCTTTTTTGTTTTGGATCAGGATTGTCACAATAAATGACTTAATCATAATGCCTTAGACTGTGACTGTATTATCTTCTGTAGATCTGTCTTTTAGGTTTTGTGATAAAGGTGTTTAGTGAAGACACAAAATGTTGATCTGAATAGACTGTAGACCTAATAATGTTTCATCCAAACATTGAAAACAACTGATGCCAGACTTTGAATGAAATGGGTGTGTGCCAGTGACATAAAAAATGGAAGTTCCGTTTTCTAGCAATTGATCTTTTATCTTCATTATAATGTATGGTAATTTTATTATGGCAATAATGGAAATGGTACTTGTGGGTATATTTTTGAGAACTGAGCTGTTTGTTCAAGCCTCGTTCAACTCGTGCAGTCCATGAGTAACTAGAATCAAATCCCAACAGGGGCAGGGGCAGGGAGAGCTGCTTAGGGTATGACTAAGATATCTCAGCCTAATGTCTATCAGTCATTGAGTGTGCCATTGAGGGAAAGCAGCAATTTAGAGTGGGAGAATGTAGCAGGGCTCAGCATACTGAGCAAGTTACAGAGGTGATGTCACACACACATTCTGAAATCTAGACAGTGTGAAGCTGTCCGGAGTTATCCTCTGTCTAGGAATGGTGCTGTGTGTGTTTGGTGCCCAGGAGCAACTGAGATCAGATCTCTACAGGGAAACCTGCACTTACTCCTTTTGTTTACTTCTAGGATTCTCAATTATTCAGTCATTTTAATTAATTTCTTATTTAAAGTAACTACAAACATAAAAAACATGACAGTATCTATAAGTATCTATTATTTAAGACCACAAGTCACTTTGTTCTGGCCTTCCACAGTCAAAAACTACTCACATTTGACTTCTAAAAAATGGACCAACTTTAACTAATTATACCCCTGACACATAGCTTTAAATATTAGATATATTTGATTTTTTTTAATGGTGGATAGTCATTTGTAAATATTCTATGACTGTAAAACAAGCTTTTATAATTTATCATTTAGTCTGAATAAGAGTGAAACACTCCTCAAGTAAAATCCCACCATTATTTTTAACTACCTGAATCAAAGAAACCATTAACTTAGGGGCATGTGCGTTAACAGACATGTACAAAATTAATCCTGCAAGGCTGTTTCATAGGTTGTCTTGAAACCATCAACTGCTATAGACCAGGGTGGGATGCTAATGTAGACTAATTAAGTAATTAGATAATTTGCGTAGTAAAATGCAATTTGTCCCTTTTTTTTCCAGAATGTTTGAAGCTCCTTTAACCTTTTCTTTTGTTTTATGCTTTTTGTTTTGAAAGGTTTAGATGTTCGACAAGCACAGGTGGTCGCAATATCTACTGGCACCAAATGTATCAATGGTGAATATATCAGTGACCGGGGACTTGTTGTCAATGACTGCCATGCAGAAATCATCGCAAGGAGAGCATTTGTTAGATTCCTTTACTCTCAGCTAGAGCTCCTTTCAAGGTAAATATTGCGTTCTTCACGGTTTGAGCCTAAACATACTCTTTGAAAAATTAATATTCAATCATATTTACCTTCTACGAGGCTTTTGCAAAACCAGTTAAAATGTCCTACTGTATATCCTTCAATAATGAGTCATCTAGGATTGTGATTTTTCTGTATTTCGTATAGTTTCATAAGCCTCTATATTTCTATTCACTGTTTCTAGTCACTGTTTCATGCTTAAATCAACTGTTAACTGTTATGCTAATTTCTATTAAAGGGTTAATTAAAAAATATTCAGCCATGATACTAGACAATCTAAAGTTAATCTTGCATTATGTCTTTTGTTGTCTTTCCCCTATATTTTTATGCCTGGTAATTAATCCTTAATTAGTGCCATGGTAACAGAACAGGTTTATAAACCAAATGCATTCTAATGACTAAGCCTTTGTGAATTAATTATTCTTATGCCTGTCTCTGGCAAAAGATAAGTATTAAAGATGCAGTTTACATTAATATCAATTGGTGCTTACTTTTCAGAACAGTTTCACCTTCAGATATTATGGATTTATGCTGCTGACTCTGTTAATTTGGTATTTCCATTGTAAAAAGCCCTTTATTTAAATAGAGGTCACCATAAGGAAACAATCTTACCCGCCAAATGTAGCGTTAACGGATATCACAAGCCTATCTCTTTGTTAAGGTATCTTTGCCCTCAGATGTGTTAAATCGACTCAATAAAGCAGTTTGTAGAAGTATAAGGGATCCTCCTTTAATGTTGTATTTGCCTAAAAAATTACCTTCATCATCCATTGGTACACAATCATATGTACAAAACTCATCTTTAATGCATCCAGATGCCTAGCTAGGACATACTTTAATATGTTCTGATATGTTAATTATACTGTAATATAAAATGGAATTTAGTTTTAACTTTGTTACACCTGATTAATTAAGAAAGCATTCATTTTAGTAGTTAAATTAAGAACTAAAATAAACATTTTTTCAAACTGTTAATGCAACAATGCTTGCTATTATCATTTTAATTATACTAACATACAGTACATGTCTGGCACTATCATTAGACATTTGTTAGGCCTCTTTTTTTATGTGATTGAATTTACTACAATATTACGCATCCATTAATCAATTATCAGAAAGCTTCTTATGAAGGTAAGGGTTACAGCAATGCAGAGCTTATCTTGAGAACACAGTGTTCGCAAGGACTACACCCTGAACAGAGCTCCAGTCCATCATAGAGCATACACACACAAGCACTCCATCAAGATACCCAATCTGAAAACCTTTAAGAGATGGGAAGAAACTGGAGCACTTAGAGAAAACCCACTCAAATGTGGAGGACCTGAAAATTCCATTACAGCCATATACAGCATATATGTTTGTGAAAATAAAATCAATATGCAATATTTAGGTGTTATTCACACACTTCAGATTGCAAAGGTTAAGGATAAGGTATACTGTACATTTACCAGAAAAACAAAACATTTATAGAAGTTAAAATGCCACTCTGCCTATTTCATCACTGTTCTGTGGACTGACCCTTAACTCATGGTTACTTCGAATTTCATCATAATTTCAGCTGGCTTTTTTGGGCTGAGAAAGGCCTTTTTTGTGCCCTTGATTTCTAAAACTGTTTTTTTCTAAAGTGTTATTTTTTCCTGTTAGGCTTAAGTTATCCACGTCTGCAACATTCAGAAAGGAATGATCACTGCATAGTTTGTGGAACTCTAGTCTGGCCCACCTGTCCATATAATGAAGTAGAATCTGGATGTCCTGATGAAATAGGGGTGGTGTAGAATCATTGACATTTCACTTGACTAACCTCTACCTCTTTCAATAACCTTTACACTAACCTCTGTCAGTGTTTACCGTGGTGCATGAAATTGATGTTCTATTGCTGTGTTCTATTGTTATTCAGAATCTAGTTACATTTTCGATGTCGGTTTAATGTTTTGTGGTAAACTCAAGATAGTTCGCCAAGGACTTGCAAGTCTTCTGCAACCCCCAACAGGACATTGTCTCCAATGAAGGAGGCGTAATTTTGGAAAAAAATTACGTTGAAACACATATTTATCGATGCCTAATTTGTACATAACACATAACACTTCCCCAAGCCTATCACTAGTATTGAATTTATTGGTTGTGCCAACCAGATTTCAAAGGTCCAAGGTCAATATACAGCACATATACCCTAGGCTCATATACAGAATCCAGTAACATATGCTGTGACAAAAACAAACAATTGAGAGCAGATATCAGTTACATTTAACCAATCTGATAATGATCTAAAAGTAATGAACAAGTTCATTATTGGAAAAGAATGGGTAATACACTATAAACAAGAATAATACTGAGTAGAATGTGACTGGGTCTTTGATGAGAAATAGTGTAATACAAGGCTATGCGATGTAAGAGTTATTGTGTCTTCTCTTTCTAACCAGAAAATGTCTGTATTGCTGTTCACTTGCATAAGAGCCATAGCTGTATTTTTCAGCAGGATGTGTGAATCTGACTAATTTTCACCCCTGTTGGTAGTCTTGGTAGTTTTACAAAGACCAAAGATCATCTAGGCTGAAATATCATTATTTTCCCTCTTTCAGGGAATTATCCTCAGCACACTTTAGCAGAATAACGCAAGGAAGCTGTGTGACAGATGAATAAAGGACTTTAGTCTGGGGAGCACTAACATTTATTAAAGTGTTTTGTTCTCAAAACGAAAGGAGAGAATGTCTGTAACAAACAGCATGGGGCAAATCACACACAAGTGTGAAGCCGTTGTGTACTACTCAGCTGCGTGCATGGCACCAGGTCCTTTCTGCCTCAATTTTAATACATTATTTTTTCATTGTTGCCTGTCTGAAGCAAACGGCGAGAAGACTGGGAGCAATCAATCTTCATCCGGCACAAGGAGGCAGGCTACAGACTGAGAGAAAACATCCTGTTCCATATGTATATCAGTACTTCCCCTTGTGGAGATGCCCGCCTCAACTCTCCCTATGAAATTACGGCTGACTGTAAGGAACATGCCCCCTTAACTCTCTTGCCTTCTGCTTTCACAATGACTTTCTTTTATTGTCATTTAAACAGCTTGTTCTTGCTGTGTGTGGTCTTATTAGCACTCTCTTTTTGCGGGACTATAAAACACAGGCATTTCTTTCATCATGCTTAAGAGAAACTTAAGCCAGATTTTATAGTATGCTGTATGAACGTGCAAAAGAACTTAATGTAATATCCATCATGTTAATGTTTATGAGATTCAATGAACACTTTATTCTGCATTTGCCCTGTGTAATTGTGTGTTACTGCGTTTATTGTAGTTGTCTGGGTTTAAGTGTCTTTCTTGCATTTTATAGAGAAACTATACATAGGATATTTTCCATTAAAAAGTATGCAGGAAACTATTCATCTTGTTTGGATGACAGGTAGAGTACTAGGTCATTTAAAAACTGCAAAGTTTTAGATTTGAGAGAAAACAGAATTTAAGAATTCCAGCAGTCAGTTAATCATATCGGTATTAAAAAAAAACCTCTCTCAGGGAGCTTTGAATTTTAGCTGGTTGGTCATTAAAACCTTTAAAATGTTCATCATTCAGCTTTTCAGATTACGAAATTGCTTATGCATTAGGGTTCCGTAATACCTTTTTTTCTCCTTTTCCTCAAGACTTCAGAGAAGAACTTAAGGCTTAACTTTGCCCTCATTGCATCAAGAGAACCATAGCAACAGCAGAGGGGATGAATAAATCCTCCTTTCTCTACTTCCAGTGGAATGTTTCTCAATTATTGCCTTTTTCATGGTGGTGTTAGATTGGAAGACATGAAGGTGTTTTAAGGTGGAACTAGTGTATTGCATTTCTTTTCCATTTTTGTTCTGAGTGCATGCTCATCTATAAGAATTAAAAAGAAGGAAACAGCTTGGTCCTATTTTCACAAAATGTGAAATGATTTTTTTTCAATTGTTCTTATAAAACCAAAAGCACTACCTACAATATTATATTTTTTATTTATGACTTCAATATCACTGCATACAATTTTAAATCACCATTCTCTTAAAGTCTAGAATCCTGAATTGTATTTTTGTTAGCGTAGAAGGAACTAAAACGTGCATATGCAGGGCTGTCCTGTTATACAATTACCCATTATTTTGAGGAATTGGTTGTAACAGTATGGTTGTGGCTTCCATCTCAGATGTAGTAGAATAAGGCACTGAAAAATACTTCTTCTTTTACAATGGAAAGACTATACATTGTGTGAATAGCTTAATAACAAATATATTTTCATTTTAAGATTATCTTCAAAGCTCAAGGTTCAAGAGGAAGAAAGCACTGAGCTTAAGACATTGAATTACAAAGTTTTATTTGCTGGATTTCAGCAGGACCCAATGTGGTGCAATTCAGCAGGAATTGGCAAAGAAATTTAAAAGCACTTGGAGATAAACCCAAATTTCAAGCAAAGCTGGATGACTATGGTAGTTTAAGAAGGGTCATTAAATGGGTAGCTGTGTGCAGGGGGAAAAAGAATCTGAGGATCATTAAGATTTATAACTTTATGTAGGTTTTGTTTGAAAGTATTACTGATTTTTAAAAGAACAATTATCAATATTGGATGCTTTTGTTTCTGCTATGAATGCTTTATTTGAAGATATCATTTGTCTTTACTCTAGTAAAATACTGTTTTATTCATAAGATTCATATTAAGATGCATATTATAGCTTAACTGACACTGAAAATTACAATGGTAAAGATTTTTTAGGGGAATCATTTTTCAAGAAACCATAAAACATTACTAAACCATTGTGTTAAAAGAAGAATATGCTTGATTTTAATGCTTGATATTGTCTTTTTTAAATTAAAAAGTGTAAAATTTGCTTTATAAAAGTTGTAAGTTGTAAATTACAAATGCTGGGAAAAAGGGAATGAATGAATACAAACCCTATTCCTTGAAGACACTGTTTTACGTACACCTTATAGAGCTCTTTTACAAAGGCAAAATAAAACCTCTCTATGTCTAAAAGTGAAATTGTGACTGCAAATGCATTACCTGATCAGCTTGCATTCTGCTCTCTGTAACCCTCAGTGAACAGCAGCAAGCACTTTGTGAGAAAGTTTCATGGCCACCTCCGGGCTAAGATTGAGTCTGGAGAGGGAACTCTTCCTGTCCGGTCCCGTGGGGCTTTTCAGACTTGGGATGGAGTCATGCAGGGGGAGCAACTAATCACCATGTCTTGTACGGACAAAATCACAAGGTGAGCTCAAAAAGGCCAGTGGGATTGTTCAGCTTTAAGAGGAATTTTAGGACTTACCATGCGCCGGAAAGATGGCGACGGTTTACAGAAAGCTCTCTCGTTGTGTGTCTGTTTTAATGTTTATTTATACGTTAATACTCTTGTTTTGTGTTGGACGCTCAATGTCTGTCATTACTTTTATTTATTGTACGTCTCCAGTCATTGTTTACACGTCTGTATTGTTTACATTCAAACTGTCTGCATGTTTACTTGCACATTGTCTATTGTTTGTTTGTACATTGTCTTGATGCACTGTTTGCTCTTTGTTTTGTTTTTTACACTTGTTTTACAATCAAGAGACTTTCTGTAAGTAAGAATTCCATTGTACCAGCACTGGTTACATATGGCAATAAAGTTCAAGTTCAAGTTCAGTACTTTTAGAAAGCGAAAAAGGACAAAAATTTTGTCGTCATCATCATTTGACACGATGGAATGTCAATTGAGATTAATACTGGACCACAAATACACACTCTCAAATATGCTACGTGTATGTTCTTAACGCCAAAATTCACCATCTAGTCATTATATAAAATACATGGTAGGATGTAGAAATTCATTTTTTGCCTTCATCATAAGTGCGTGTTTTGTTTATTTAGAAACAAATGTTTCTAAACTAGAATTTTAAGACTATGAAGTCTAATAAAATTGAAATGAAGAGTAGAGCTAGACGTTACTCTCAAACAGAACCCCATTAAAAATGCATATGAAATTAAATATGTTCACATGACACTCTTTATGCTATTCCACACAAAATTATTATTTTTTAAGGCCAGAATGTTAGATGTGGTGAAAAAGAGTAAAATAATTTGTCAGCATTTTAAATATGAGTAGGCAGTATTCTGACTAAACAAAATTTAAAAAATCTATAACTGTAATACGTTTTGTAAACCTAGTTTTTTAGGCTTTCCTTTAGTTTTCTTCCGATTTTTGTGTTATTTGTGTTACACATATGAGTTGTACATGTCAGCATCGGAGAAATAAATGAAAAATTTGGATCTGCAACCTTAAAATAGAACAAAATTAAAAAGAAAAATGTAAACAGCTCTGACTCCTCCTGGCTACAGCCAGAAGCAAGACAGATTTAAACAAATTCCCCTCTTGGTGGAAATCATTTGTTAGAAAAAAATCTCTGGGTCTTCTGTGACATTTCAGTGGTGGGAAGAAAGGACAATATATTGATTTAAGGATTACTTTTATTAAAGACTGGGCAAGGGGGTTTTCAGTTTAAATACTGCATTATTATCAGACGGTTCAACAATAAAAGGAGAGGTTTTCATGATATTTGTTCTGTGTGGGAGCATTGGCAGTCTAAAACTAAGGAAAGAAGTTTTCTACTTCACAAAAGTTCAGAAAATCTTTAAGCTACAATAGGCTGGGCATTATACTGGAAAGTAGACAAATAGACATAAATTGTATTCGGACAATGAGATGCAGTCATAAGGGCAACAAGAAAAGTAATTGCCCTTTTTGAAAACGGAGTGACTTGCACAAAGTGCCAGAGTGATACTGAACAAAAGAAAGTCCCCCCCTTCAAAAATAAAAATGTAGTGAAATAAGCTTGCTCTAAACCAATCACTGCAGAGTTATTTCTGTGATTCGTCATCCAAGAATCATGAAACGAGGAAGGAAAATGCCTGTGGCAGAATCCTGCACCATTACTGAGAAGACACTGTCACCAGTGTATGAAGATCAAGTGCGATTTTGCATCTTTTTCAAATATAGCAAAAGGAATATTTCTGCCACCACAAGCTTGAAGTTCCTGTTGATGTGAGAGGTAAAATGAATATTTTATACGCAAAATGTTCCCAAACCTAAGCAATATGAGCCAATGCATCATCATCATCATCATCAAAAGAACAGTAAAGGATATCTGAGATAATAAGTGAAAACTTTTCGACTATGAAAGGGAATGACAGAAAAGTATTTATCAAATATTATATCACTTTAGGGTTAGCCAGGAAGAAACAAACAAAATGTTTCAATTGAGATAAAAAAAAGTTCTAAGCTAACACTGTTTAACAGAAGAGGCAGAAATGTTACAGGTACTAGAAACACTTAAGTAAAAAAAATCTCCAAGCTCTGGCCTACCAATTGTACTTAAGGGAACAAGAGGCGTTATTCATAAAACATTAACAAAGCCCTTTTAGCAGTCTCTGAAGGTATAGTAATCCCCCTTGACTGGAAAACTGCAGATGTAGTACCCATCCATAAAAAGTGTGAAAAAGAGAAACCAGGCAATTAAAACCAAGAGTTTTTACTTCTATTAAACGTAAAATTATGGAATAGATCATTGGAACCCAACTAGAGGATCATCTGCATGGAAAGAGAATTCTGGTGGATAGTCAGGATAGATTAGGAAAAGTTAGGTCTTCCTTGACAAGGTCATTTGAATTATTTGAACAAACAATGGCAATAATGAATACATGAAGAATATATGATATGGTATATTTAGATTTTCAGATGGCTTTTGATTGAGTCCCTCATAAAAGACTAATTCTCAAATTGCAGGTGGACGTTTTGTTAAAACCGTACAACAAACTAGACAGACGTCATTTAGAAAAGATATTGCTGCTCCTAGGCTCAAAGGAATTACCTACTGTACATTGACATGCTAAAGGTGTTGAACCTTTTTAGTCCTGAGCAGAGAGTATTCAAAATTCTCAAAGGCATTGACAAAGACAACCCAGTCAACTTCTTCAGAATAAATGGTGAAACATTAACTAGACAACCAAAATGGAACTAAAAGAAAGAACATTTAAAACTGCAAAAAGTAATCCCTTTTTTACAGAAAGGGCTGTGAGAGTCTAGATCAAGATATTTTACTTGTACTGTAGCTTTCACCTAGCTCCCATAGCTCCTTGTCTAAAAACATTACATCGTGGGTTCACGTTTCATAGTTTGTTCCGAAGAATGTTTGTAAGCACTTAATTTAATATTATTGCATGATTTGTTTTATTTGTGTGAAAAGTAATTATGCATAAAATGTTCTAGAAATCAACATTAATGTTTTGCTGTGTTACTGTGTGAAACAGTTAAATGCCCATATAATGGGATATAAGAAGCAGCACTGTATTGATTTATTTCTTTAAAACTGGCATCAAGTAAAATATATCTACTGTAAGTAAATTTTTTGTGGGTAATATTTGAACATGTAAAATATAAAATAACATTGCTAGTTGTAGACAGAATGCATTATTGTAAAACTGGCTAATCAGAATTAGTGCTCATGTCTATACACAATTGACTACAACGAGAACCCATACTTCTGAAGAGACCCTGCATAGTTAGGCTATTCTTGCTCTTGTTCTTGTTCTTGTAGCTAGTGAGACAGGGGAAAGCACAGTTCCTGTAGGTTTAGCTTTAGGTTTAGCTAAGGCTGGTAACCTGACTGCATGCCTTACAGCTGACTGGCTAAAACCTACTGTAGCACCAACAATACTCTATAATAAACTGTTGGAAATAGGATATTGCTGAAATACTGCAAACACCCTACAGTAATGGGTAGATACTGCTCACACTTTATATAGATTTGACTGTTTTCACTGGCAGTGGTATTTAAAAAAGAGACACTTGCTTGAAGAACATGTCTGGACATCATGTTAACTCATTCTTTTAACCTTTCATCAAATGTGTTTTTCTTTATAAATAAACAACAAAACATTTGCTTTACATCTTTTTCCCAATATCTGTAGAAATTAAAACTTTATGTACTGTATACGGAGCACTGAAGGAAACTTAACAACCAAAATTAAAAAAATAAGTACAAGTAAAGAAAATACATATTCTTGACTAACACAATTTTGTCAAACATGAATCCATTTGAATACTATTTTAGAAACAGGGCTAGTCCCTCATTAATGTGCTCAGTTTAACACAGTTGTTTGCCTTATCGTGGTACAGTGTTGAATGGGAGAAGTGACTTAAGTAGGCTGCAACCTTGCAGCTGTATAAGCTGTGAAACCATAATGAGTGGTAAGGGTCAGATGTGTTGTGGCGCAGCAACTGGTGGTGATGAGAATGAGAGAACTGGAAAGGTGAAAAGTTTAGAACAAACATTCAGTGTAATTCAGAGAAACTGTACCCGTTTAAGTATGATAATAATACATTGTATTGTTGTGTCTGTGCTACCAGTTTAAACAAAGTACCATTGCCAACCATTCATGCAAATGCAGATGAAAGTAATTAACAGAAGGGTTCAAATTGGTTAAAACGTTTGTATCAGCTAAATATGTCTGTGTTTAATTTAATTCTCCTCTTACTGTATTGCCCATATTCTGTCACAGCTCATGTGACCAAACTTCTTCAATCTTCTTATATACAGAAAAGGGTAAAAACTGAAAGCATTAACTAAAATATAGTTATAATAAAACAGTGAAATTAATAAATATGAGATGGAGAATCCCCCCTGTTTACATTTTTCTTATATGAAGTTTGTGTCCAACTAACACAATTTCACCTTACACAAGACATTTGTACAACACATCTATCATGTTAGTCTAGTGATACCTGTGTACCGATTTGAATATTGCGTTCATGTTTTTTGTGTCATTTTTAATACATTAAAGTCAAACTCTGTCAATAATAGGGCACAACCTGGAAGATCACAAGTCATGCAATCTTGCCAAGATCAATGGGAAAGTCCAAATGTGATGGTCTGGTCAGGAGAGTTTGGCTGATATAAAACTCTGTAGTCACTCATGACAACCTGACTGCCCAGTGTGTCATTGATCAAATCCTGGGACATCATTTGCTGCTGTTCCTGCTGGCTCATCCTGATGTGACAACACAACAGCAGGCTTGAGTCCCATTGAAACTCTGTGGGATCAGCTGGGATGATATATGGAATCTAAGACACAGAAACCAATGAAACACACTTTCATGAGAAGTACCACAAGAGAGTATGTTTTTCAACAAGTGCAAAGTTGCGTCACATATATCTTTCACAGCAGACACCCTGTTGATCAATCCTGAAGCTGATAAATGTTCATGAATCAGCCACATGAAATCACCTGTGAATGTTCGATATAATGTCTGTGGCCCTGCCACAAAATGATTGTCATTTTCTCCATAGAAAACTTGTGAATGTATTGCAATTTGTACTGTAAATGGCATTTGAGTATACAAATTAAATAGAATATATTACAAATATGTAAGACTACAAATTAATGTAATCACAACATCATGAATAAGAGTGAGTGTATAAGTACGCCCATGCATGTATACAAACGATGCACACTCAAATTTGTGGCTATTCTTCCATTGATGTCCCCTACTGATAGTTAGTGGAACTGTTTGCCTTGAGGATTGCACTGTGAAAAATCCTCCCTGAGATCGCACAGACAAGATACTAATGTGCTTAGGACCACCATCAAAATTGCCGGGTCGAGCACTGTCACCTGCACTGCTCAGGAATCCTACGTGGCTCAGCCAGTAAAGGCCCATCACAAGCCGACTGTGACTACAATGGGGATATTACTGGGAATCCTCGATCAGCGGTACACAATGGGCTGAGGCCCGCAGGGGATGAGGTGGGATTAAAATTGGGATCTTTTGGCTCCAGCAGTTACAGTGACCCCTGCTGCTTCATGGGTGCTAAGAGGCTCGTGGTGCTGTGAATCAGGGATGTGACTTTCCTCCAATGGTTCTGAATGTCTGAATAACAATGAATAATTTGTTCAAATAAATCTTACTCAAAGAATGGTTCTAAGATCACAGATAATCTTAGATCATTCTGATAAATATGCACAAACACATATTGCCCGAGTATTATGGCTTTGCCTTGTGATCAAAATGTGTCCCTTAGTGATCTTTCTTGGTTGATTACATACATGTATTCCAAAGACTGTGAGCTACAGCAGAATATCCCAAGCGAGCTACAGAAAATAATGATACTGCATCAATCCGTTGCTTTCCACTCAGATTACTACTTTGCTTCATCACGCAAAACTCATTAAATAAGCTTCATTTCTATTAGCAATATTGCTTTTTACCCATCTGTTTAGGGGATTAAGAAAACCCGTGTACTGCTTAATGAATCAAGATTCGCATTCAGCTAAACTCTCCCCTGTTCTTCCAGATTGGAAAAGCAAAGGTGTTGACTGTTTAAAGGTTTTCTTTATTATTACAGAATAATATTTTTGTCGGTATAGGTTTTATAATGTTTTTTTACACACGAAGCACATGTTCTTATGTCTTATGTTCTTACGTTTTTTCCGGTGTTTTTGTACCACTTCTAGATGAATGCAGAATAACAGCATGTATGAGAAATTCCATTGTGTTAAATTTATTTTACAATGAATTGAAGAACACTGCCGAATGATTGCTTATACAGAAACAGTGCAATTTTAATTGCTTGCTGTGCAACTTAAAATTCACATCATACCTCTGGCCTTTTGACCTGTAAGTGAGTAAAACGAGTCCAAATCCTTGTTCATTTCTTGTAATTTTTCCTCATGTCAAACAAATTTTGTATTTATTGAATTATGACAAATACAACCAGAAAAAAAGGTCCCTCTGAAGTTTAAGCTATGCTTTCCTCTCTGGGGGGTGGTGAAATGATGTTGAGTGACTTTAGTGTGTCAGTATAAACCAGCCACAGCAGCTTCTTGCTCCTCCACCGGTGTTAATTTGACCAATTTGATTCACTTCACAAGAGCTGGAAACGTCCCGATTAAATCTGGCCAGGTCACCGTGGGGGTGAAAGCAATTACTTTACAAAAAATAGAATCAGGAGGAATAGGACCATCTCTCTCCTTCCCACCCCCCCTCCAACTCCATTTTATATCCCTGTAAATTATACTTCAATTGAAGTGCGCAGGTCACCAGGGCAGCTAATCAAGGTCACTGTCAAGAGCAAGAGCGAAAGGAGGCTTAAGTCCTTATCCTGCTACCTTGCGCCATTTTAACAGACCCATAGATCTCCAGCATTCACCACACTATCAGAGTAAAAGTGTTCAGTATCATTCCTGAATTGTTGCACCTGAGAACATTTTCTTGATTTTCTTCTCTCCTAAAATGACAGCCCTTCTGTGTCAGTGGACAGACATGTTTTATGATTATGAGGTGCCATAAAAAAATATTTTATTTTCTTTTCCAAAGCAAAAAAAAGGAAGGGGGCCTGACAGACCAGAGTAGATGTTTAATTAAGCCAATGACTGTTTTAATTGAAGGTTTAAATGGCTTTTTCTGTATGAATATTATCCTTTATATTCCATTTGAGTTTTATGTAGATGAACACATTACTTTAATGGTCCCCACGTTTACAGAGCAAAAGACTGGGAGAGGAGGAGGGAAAGATAGAGACTCCCCCCTTAAATCCTCTAGCAGCCAGATGGCTGTCTTTTCTTGCATGAGATTAAAAGATGTTTCTAATTCACAGCGCTGCTTCCTGGGCAAATTAATATTGCAAGCTAAATCGTTTCTGTTTTGAGAGGAAAAAAATCAAACCAAGTACCTTTTTTCCCTTACAATAGGTGTGACAGATCCCATCACCAGATTGTTCTCCAGGTAGATAGAGGGCTGCTATTTAAGTATTCAGTAATTAATGTAAAGTATTCTGTGTTAATTGACTGCTCAGGGAAGCAAAAAATATAATGACTCCTTATTAATCATAAACGGAGATATACGGAAAAGAGGCAACCACAGTAATTGCAGTAATGATGAGGAGACATTAATTAACAAAAAGAACAATGATGTAAAAATTAGCAGCATAATGTTTGCCACTGATTATACTTTTCTGACTTCATTAGCCCACACATGCCAGTGTTTGCTGTCAAAGTCCAGCAACAAATCTGCTTTTTCTTCATTTAAAAAATGTTTTAAGCCTTCAAAGTCTTTTTTAAGTTTTTTTGTATTGATGGCTTTTAAACATCAACAGAAATGTTATCATCCATTCTTATTGTAGAATTTCCCATGTCCTGGAAATGTCACTTTGTCTTTAAGATCAAGTGGTATTAGATTGTTTTAACGTACCTGAAAACTGGTTATAGCTCAGGCTCTGTACCAGTCCTCAGGACTGAAACCTTTTCTGTTTCTCTATTTGAAACCGGCGCATACAAGCTTTTAAATTATTTAACTTGAGATTGCATAAAGCGTTACCAAGTATGCATGGAACATCCTCCTGATACATTCGAAGAGGGGGATGTAGTAGAAGGACATTACTGCCCCATCAGTGAAACAAAACAAACAGAAGAACAAATGATTCACAATAGCTCTAAATCCATTTAAATTGCTTGGCACCCATGTCTAATGTTCACGTCCTTCCTCTTCAGGAGATACTACAGGTCATAAAATATACCCTTCAGAACACAGGTTTCAAAAACAGCTAAGAGATCAGTATATACATTTATCAAAATGTAATAGGGGGGTTCTGATATACTGGAAGATGGTACATACTGTAGGAATAAGTACTTATGGGGCTTCTGAAAACACACATCACAGATATCGTATTTAAGTAAAACACTTTACCTTGAATTTTTCTTTTCATAGTTAACACCCAAGCTATTTTTCAAGTAAAAGGTTGAGACCTTTGTCACTGTTTCATGCTGGAATCACCTCTGTTCTGCCCTGAAAACGTCCCCCTGAAATATTTCTAAAACTATAAAGAGTGTTTTGGCTTTGCTGTTCTTCGTGACAATGATGGATGTTATTGCTACGTTAACGGTTCAGGGACTTGAGTAATAATAAACCAAAGCAATTGCTATAGTTTTTTTTTTTCATTTAATTGTTCATCCAGAGGGTTTCAAGTGAAGGATTTGAAATTTGCCATTGATAGGTGGTTAGAAGTTGTAATATACTGTGGAAACAAGTAGTTTGCATTCCATACATACACAGATTATAAGGTATTCATAGTTGAATCTACTGTATGCCTTCAGCTAAGTAAGTAACACATCAAGATACTGATCACTTGGCTATTTTATTCTGTTTCAGATGGAATGTTCTTGGCATCCAAGGATCACTCCTCTCTCATCTTGTGGAGCCAGTTTATCTGCATAGCCTCATTGTGGGCAGCCTACACCACACAGGTCATCTCTCCAGGATAGTTACTCACCGACTAGACCGCATGGGCCACTTGCCAGCATCTTACAAGTGCAACCAACCACTTCTCAGCGGTACAGTATTTAGTATTTATTGGTAGTATTAATAATTTTATATTTATGTCAAAAAAAATATTCATAACACTGTGCAGTTTTGGAGCCAGAAATTCTCTAGATCTCTAACTTTCTCATTTTTGTTCAAATTTGCTAAACATTACTACCGTTACAGCTCTTATTTTTCTTAAGAGTGGTTTCTTTAAAACTTTTACAGTGGTCTTCTGAGTGGCTTAACTGCTAAAAGACAATCCCCTGAGCATCTGGCTGAGCTATTTGATCATGAGTTTGAACATGAGTCATGTTACTTGCAAACTATAGCCAGGATTCCCTAAGTGATGACACATATTGTAATTAGCTGCATGCCACCAAGAGTGGGTGTGTATCTCAGAGACATTGCAATCCTTGTGGCCTCTTGGGTGTTTCCAGATATCCAGAGCCATTTTGAGGTGCACGCCTCTTCTCCAATCAATGCTGTACCTGTACAGGTTACAGGATATGGGTACAGGTTTGATGGAACACACTTACCTTCCTAATTTTCTCCGTGTGTGGTCAAGGGGCTCGTGATAATAAACTATTGGCTATTCAAAATCGGGCAGGTGTATCAAAATTAATTGACGATTCTCTGTGTCTTTTACCATAAAGACACCAATACCACATTGTTCTGCTGCCAAATGTTGAAATCATCTGTGTTGTTTTGCAAAATGACAAGCAAAAACACCACATAGTCGAAAACAAAAGGCAATTTCAGAGTTTGTTCTAATATAAAAACATTTTAAGCATTTGGCTTTCATTTGCTATTACCATTCATTTTCATTGTATGAAAAAGTATATCTGAGGTACTGTATATAATGATTGGTCACATGGTCTTGTTGAAGAAGGAGAGCTTCCATGTCTCAAATATGGTAGTGGTGGGAGAGTAGGGTCTTTGTTTTCCAGTAAGGGACATTAAGTCATCTTCCATTATCTATCCACATATCCACTTACTCTTGTTTCATATATGTTTGGGTAGTAGATAGTTGATAATTATAGGAGGCTTTACATTACAGTTAAAATTTCTGAAAAACAAAATGATTTCATGCTTGAATCTGTTTCTTTCAGTCTTACTATAATGCTTCAGCAAGTGCCATATCATATAAAATAATCAGGTAGTATAGTTTATTTATCATTTGTAAATGTAAAAAAATCAAGAAGAAGAAGAAAATAAAGATTGACAGAAGTGATGTTTGGCATAACATCTTGTACAGATTTATCATTTGGATTTCTTTATGTGTACACTGTGCTCTCAGTATGACTGCTACTTACAAATATTGCACATCCCAAAAACACATCTCTATTCTCTTTGTAAAACAGGTAACAGGTGCAGATAAATATCTACTTATACACAGAAGTACATAATTTCTCTTTTATTTACCATCATTTGTAAGGTTGTTATATTCTAAACTCTTAGCTAAATGAGCAAAGTAAATGAAGCAGGCAGTCTGTAATTAAAAAAACTAAAAGACAGGCTGAAAGAAAAGCTACTCAGTGGCCAAAAGGAAAAAGATGAATTAGAAGAAGTGCTTATTTCCTGATCCTTTGTAAACCCAATAAAAGATGTACCAGCTTAAAAGCTGTATAAACTGTATGTATAGCTTCAAAACCTCCAACAATAGTACTTTCTTGAAATAGAAGCAGCAACAGAAAACACCAGTCAATGGACAATTTTAACAATTGTCCAGCAGTCTTTCAGTTCAATCTTAGAAAAAACTAAAAGCTAAAGGGGCTATATGGCCAGCTAAGGTCAATGCTGGGTCAGACAGTGCAATTGGTTTACATTTCCCACCCCTAGTGTCCATGATGCCGACTCTGTGGTAGCAGGCAAGAAAACCCAATATACTGTAGTGACAAAAATCTCTTTCATTAGTAATATCACAGTATATACAGTATTGTAAACTAATACACTACGTTAGCTTGTTGCTTTTTTTTTAAATGCACGTTTGCAAGTCCCAGTTATGATATATAATATCCTGACTGAAGCCCGAAACATGTAATCAAAATTTAGTTTGCTTTGACAATTGACCCTGAGGGGTCCTCAGACAGAGATGCCCTTGATTTTTGCCTCAAAGGCCAGAGCAAAGCATTCCACAACAAAAGAGGTATTGGAGAAGGAATCCTTTTAATCAATCTAATCACACAGCACATCCGAGACATCCTGCATTTGAAACTTTGAAAAGAAAAGAGGACAATCCATTTATCAGTGTGTGCATATGAAGGATCCATGAAGTGATCTATCCCCAGTGGGGGCTGCAACACTGTGTGTACTGCAGTATAGGGAGATATACCTTTTTATTTAAGCTAGTGTTGCCTTAAGATAACAAAAATAAAATACAGTAATACAATAGGATCACCATTGTTATAAACATGTTCGTATGACAATAATTTAAAACTTATTTTACAAAGATAAAAACTTGAAGCAGGGAAGGACACTGTTAAAGGCAACAGTGGCAACATAATAGGAGGTACAGTAATGTCAGACTCAAAAAATAATATCTGAATAAATGGCAAAGAAACCATACTGAAGACATCAATAAAAACGTGAAATAAAGCAAATCGACAGTATGAAAACCAGAGTAGTTCATATAGTAAAAGTTGAATCACTCACATTTTAGGTAACTACTCTTATCTCTCTAACTAGTATCTATTAACTAGTAGAACATGTGTATAAGCAGCAGCAAATATATAACATCCTTTTTTGGACGTTGAAGGTGTTTTTTATTAAAAAAACATAATTAAAGGTGATTTCCACTGATAATTATTACATTTCTGTTTGTACAGTAATGGATGTTGTTTACTTAAACTGCATGCATTTTATTGAGATTCAGAAATTAAAATGCTTTAATGTCAGTACTATTACTAGTAAATGGAGCAGTGGTATTATTATTATTTGCCATTATAATAGTATTATTACAGGTAGAGTAAAAGATAAATATCTGTCAAAACCTCCTCTTGCAATGTCTTTTCATGCTGTTGTATTAATTTTCCATGTCTTACTTAGTGCCTAATTCTGTTGACAAGTCAATTGATAAAAAAAATGATCCCTGTCAGCTTTTCTTACACAATCAGGATTTTTTCATTGCACTGTGTCTGGTGCATGGGTTCCATGTGAAGAGAAAGAGCATTGTGCTGATTGCGAATCTCAGCAACCTTTGTCACTCAGCAGTGTTTACCACAATGATAGTAGGCTTAAAGTGTTCACATTAGACACACAGACATATTTGCTTTAATGAATTGCTCATGACTGGCATGCTTAATAGACATAATCTGGTGTTGCCTTTCAATTATTGTGCTGTGCGGATGGATTGAATACCAATACACTGCTGCAAAACTCAGCTATTTTTTTTTACTTTGGGTTATGTTGTAGACACTGCAGCAAATAAAAACAAATACAAAGGCCCAGCCATTCTTATAACTTCTTTTTTTTATCGTGAAAGAAAAGCAGCTACATTCTCTTTCTGCTTAGCATTGTACCTCTGATATCATGACACAGGGTATTTTCCATTTAAAAAAAACATGAGCTGTTTTTTAAAAATAAGCCAAAAAATATTAATCATAGAGAAAAACTTTAGGTGAAACAAACTTTAGCTAATATTATTTTCAAAAGTTGCAATGCTGGTGAAAATGAATTCATTTATGGGCTTTATGCTTGCTTCATATTCAGTTGAATTAAAGTTTTATCTCAAATTAGGGTTACACTTTTAGGAGGGGAGAAAGGAACTCCTAAACAATGTTCAGCTTAAATTGTTGTTTTTTTCATTAAGAAAATTGTAATGTAGTTGAAACTTTTGTTTTTAAATCTTTCTGTTCATGTTTACTTTATATATTTCATATTTTGTCTCTAATATTACAAAAAATGTTTTATTATTGGTTTAAAATTAGTATAATGAAAATTTTATAAATGTCCATGTGTTCTGCATACGTGCAGGATTTTGGCAATATTCTAATGTTTTTCAAGAAAAGCATTCAAGAAAAACATTAGAATCAAAATGTTTGGAGATTAAAAAAACATTAGAGAGTCAAGGATAATGATCTCCAATTATCCTTTGATAAAACATTCAGATCAGTCAATCATGCTTTCTTTATACTTGGAGCATGAAACAACAAAGATCAAACAAACAAAATGGCACTTTTGATCATTTAATACTATTGCTACGCTTCTGTAGTGTTTTCTATGTTAAAACATCTTGTGTATCCGGCATCAGTTTTACCTTTTTAAAGAAGTTCTCTACAGAGCACATTACATACAGTATGTAAAGGATTACATTTTTAAATGAATAAAGTGAAGGAATATGCTTTTAAGAGGTAATGTATTCCTGTACAGCATATAGCAGCATAGAACACTGTAACCAATTACTATAATTTTTCCCCAAGATATTGCAAATTAAAAAAAATTGCTTATACAAATTACACTTTTTAAAATCAACTTTCACCAACACTGTTTGAAAATGTCAAAACTAGAATTCGTTTTAGAAGCATGATATGAAAACCCTTTTTTTGTATTTGTGTGAGACCAAACAAGTTTAAACCTTATCAGGAAACCATCTGCTTGCTTTTTAAAGTTTATGTCAAAGTTAGACATGAAGAAAATGTTCCAAAGGAGGAAAGCTTCCCATTCATGGACTCTGTGTTTTTTGTGCTCCATTTCAGGGTTAACCAACAGCGAGAGCCACCAGCCAGGAAAGTCTCCCAGCTTCAGTGTGAACTGGACAGCAGGCGACACCGAGCTGGAGGTCATCAATGCGACCACAGGGAAGAGGAAGGACACAGGGACTTCATCCCGACTCTGCAAGCATGTGCTCTTTGCTCGCTGGGCCAAGCTCTACCGTAAGGTGAGAACCACACAGGAAAAAACAAACCCTAATTCACAGACTTTCCTCGTCAGGTCTCGTGGAACTGAAGTGTACTGTAGGTTTTCTAAGTCTAGAAAATACTGTATATGAAAGTGGATTTCCGACTGAGAAGAGTAGGCACTGCTGAACCCAAAGGGTTGACAGAGCATGGAACCTAACCATGTTGTCTCATATCCTAGCTTCTTTCAATTGTATCTTGTCATCTGTAACTGTACTTATGTTCTTATCCATCCATCAATTCATTTTATAACCGACTTTATCGAGTACAGGGTCACGGGGGGAGCCAGAGTCTAATACAGCAAGCAATGGGCATAAGGCAGGATACACCCTGGACAGGACACCAGTCTATCACAGTGCACACACAGGCAAACACACACATAAAAAACACACACTAGGGCCACTTTTCCATGAAACCTATTAACCTACCAGTATGTCTTTTGACTGGAACTGAAGGAACTGAAGCCAGGTGCCCAGTGCTGCAAGGCAATAATGCTAACCACTGCACTGCTGTGTTCTTATATCTCTTTAAAACACCAAATAAATCAGCCTTTGTGTGGAGGGGGGTTAAACTGTATAAATATAAAGATAGTTGTCATTTTAATCCAATAAACTAATCGATATTAGTGGAACCTGAACAGGATCCAAGACATTCTATTAATATTTCAGGCACTTAAACATTATTTTTAAAAAGAATTGCAACCCCACCTCTTCAAAACTAATATGAAGGTTATTTCTTAAAAAACAAAAACTGAGCTCCTTTCTTATGTAAACGTACCTAGTATAGTGGCACATGCTGATTTCATAATATTGATTTATTAAGTGGTAACAAAAACAAGTTACATAGACAAAATAATGGGGAAATAAACAATGTAGTAAGTACTAACACTACAGAGGCACTTACAGAAGGATACTGGTTCTCCTTTTCCATAGGAACCAGCAAGTATTTGGTTGGCAGCTATGCTAGAATGGACTCAACACATTTCATTTACAATACTCATAAAATAGTACAAAACAGAGTACAAAGAGTTTTTTTTTTACATGTGAGAAAAAGAAAACACTGAAATGGTATGTTTTTTCAATTAAGCAATGTAAGAGTCCTTATATGTAGTTGAATTTTTTCATTTTTTGTTTTATTTTAAGCAGCATTTAACTTTTATTAAACGAAATACAGTAAACAGCGTGATAAAAAAAATAAATGCCGTACTGGTCTGAAACTGTGAGATTAGCATAATTTTACTGTAGTAATAATAAAATTTAATGGATTAGCTTTTTTCATGAAACTACAATGGATGTTAATGGCTGCAGTGTAACAGAAAATAGTGAAATGTTTCTTAATGACGTTTTGTTTTTCGGTTTTATGTTAAAATTTATATGCTGAATGCTTCAATTATAAATTAGCATTATTTTCTGATATAAGGTGTAAGCAAAATTATATAATTATTCATGTGAATAAATATTCCTTGTTACTTTCATTTAATGCAGAGTTTAAATGAACACCCCCTTAAATCTGACATTAGGAAAGTATGCTGTATTTTTGATAAGCCAAGTCAAACAGTCAAGTGGAAAAAGGTAATTAGTGTTTATAATTTCACTGTGAAAAGCATACAGTGCCTTAACCAAGCTTATAATGGAATCAACACATTTTGTATTGTTCCACCGTCCATATCATTGTCATACGTTTGTAACTTTTTCTTTCAGAAACCTAAAATTCAGGGTATTGATTGTGGTTGCTGTATACAGTGCTGCCATGTCATGACATTACATACTGATTCAATTTCTGATAGCACCCTTAATGCCAATAATTCCTGGTGCAGAAATAAAAGAAACAAGCAATAGATCCTAAGAGTCTGATACCCCGATCCAGTTACAAACTGAATTTGTAAAAACATATTAAAAAATACGTTTTCAGCTTAGCGCTAAAACATTGATACAGTATGCTGGAATGGAGTTTCAGAGGGCACTACAGCTAAAGCCCCCTGCCAATACGAGACTTCTTTTTTCAGAATAATAACCTGAGCTGCATTTTGTAGTTTTTAAGACCAATTTGAAATACATAGAATTAATAGCCCTGGGGAATGAGAGGGCCTTAGTCTGTATAAAGTCTTAAATGTTATTGTAGCAGCTTTAACATTTGGAAACCTTATTTTGGCATCTGTGCTAAATGTAAAATGCTGAGCATAGTTTTATTACTAGTTATTGAATTTGCTTATAGGCTTGTCAGTCAAGAGGTTCTCATTCGCGTTTCAAATCCACACTGACTCTTAGGGTTTTACCCAAAACAAATATCTAATTCATGAGAACAGATTTATGCTGCTGGTTACAGTTTCTTACCTCTCCTTCAACAACATATGGCATAATCTAGATTCGAGAAAACAATGCTCCCATACGCCCATACTTCCAAAGCTAGAACCACCTAACACTGACAAATTTAAAAGCTTACAGTTTTAGCCGCAAGATCAGTCGTTTTTAAGGCAAAGTTGGGAACACGTTTATCAGTGGTAACAGATTAAACACCTCTAACATGAATTGTTTCCCATCAAGAAAGCATGCTGATACTACAAGTCATATCCAAGTACAGGTACAGTCTTCTAGAAATAAACTTTTCTCTCCTGTTTCCCCACCACCTCCACGGATTCCTTTTGTTGTTGTTGAAACAAAGAAAATGCACAAAAGCACAGAGAGAGTGTTCAATTGCTTGTGAAATTTAAATGGGAAGATTACACAGCTGTTGAAGTTTTCCGTTTGTGCCGGCTCATTCGTTTTGTTTTGCTCCTTTTTTTCTCCTCCTCCACAGCTGAGCACGCAAGTGCCAAACCACGGGGAAAGGCCACTGATGTACTGCGAGGCCAAGCTGGCGGCAAAAACGTACCAAACTGTCAAGCAGCAGTTGTTCAAATCACTACAGGAGTCCGGACTGGGCACCTGGATACGGAAACCACCTGAGCAGGATCAGTTTCTACTGTCTGTGTAAAGTAAGAAGAGTCCAGCCACTCCCTAGGGAAAAAAAAAAGGCAGCTCCCCCAAGTGGTGTGCTAAACTCCGGCTCGCAGGCCACATTGCCCTTCCTGCTGGGACTGGCAGTCCCCACACAAGCACAGAAAATGAGGAAAGAAGAAGGGATTTCGCCACATGCACAGAACACTGATGATCCATTGTCACTCCCTCCCACTTAGGCGTGCTGGGTCAGAGAGTTCCGACCCTTCTCCGAAGTGAAAGCTAGTCGTTATCTTGTGTTTGTCGTGTCATCAGCCATTTTTGTGAGGTTTATCTCTGCAGCTGTCCTCAAATCCCGGGCAGTTAAATTTATACGCCAACTTGAGATTTCTAACTGAGCTGCCCCATGTGAGGGTGGTACATGTTCCATACATTGTAAAGGTTTTTGTTTCTCACAGATTGTTTTAATAACTGATTTGCTTCGACTTTGTGTGTTTTTGTTCAATGAAAGAAAAAATAAATGTTTTTTAGTTGTGACTCATAACCCCTCACCAGGTATCACAGCAGCTGACTATAAGGGTGAGTTTTTAAGGTACTCATCTTTGAGAATATAGAATTTTAACATTTCTAATGCTTTTCATTCTTGATACTTTTTGCCATTGATTTTGGGGTATTTTTGATATGCAGTTTGTTAGCAACCATGAAAGTTTATTCCATCCAAACAGAACAAAAAAGCTACAATCTTAAGTTGATGATTAACAGTCAGGCTAAACTATAGATCTAATCACACAAGCAGTCTCTTTCTGCTTGGAAGGCTTAGCATTTCTTAATAACACTGTATGTTAGTGCTGTGTTTTACATAAGACACACCTCAGACACAATATAAATAAAGAAACACAGTGCTAGTGTTCTAGACACACAAATACTGGATCGAAAACATAGATGGCAAAGAGGTCTTGAAAACTAGAGATAAAAAACACTTAAAGCATTGGGAAACTGTGTTGGTATCTGCATCATGCCCAGCTGGCCCAAACCTGAGAAAATGATTTGTTATTGTTCTGTGGGTTACTGAAACCTGTCATTAAACTCATTTTACCACATTAAACATTGTGAAACATCCCATAACCATGTTATTAATATTATCAATATGGATTTCAGGATGCAAAGCAAGACAGTTCTTGTATAAAATGTTCTTGTGTCACATATTTTAGACCTATAGAACAATGTGATTCAGAATGAATTCTATGTAAGAAAAAAAACAGATTTAACATTATCCTTGTGCATTAGTAGAGAGAATAGTAGCTCTAATCACACTAGGGGACAGAGATTTCTAGTGCATTCACTTACTCGAGTGTTTCACTGTGAAGTGAAATAACTTCAGGCTTAAGTGTTTCCTCCACAGGGAAGTGCCTGCAGACCAGAACAGTGCTGCGTCACTCCAGACCTTAGAATATACTCATTTCACCAGCATCACCATCTAAAATATAATGCATATTGTTGTGAGTCAGATTTACTGTCATCCCTCACAGCACCTCTCCACTGCCTAGAAATGAATTTTAAAAAGCTTGTTAAAGCTAAACCTGTTTGTCTTGTTTAAAATTTGCATCCTTCTTGTCTCCTTCTGTCCTGTTTTTAAAGCTGCTTGAAGCCGAGTGGTTTTCCCTATTTTACTATACAGTTTTTTAGTAGCCTTTGGGAATCAGAGGGCCTTACTCCGGGAAAAGCCTTTAAAAGCTTAAATTTGAGCATTTCATTAAATTGCTTTTATTCTCAACTGCCCTGCTCAAGATCAGATTTAATTATTGGTGGGTGGGTGTTTTCCCAGAAGAATCAAAAGGGTTAACTGTGAGTTTCATTCTTTGTCCTAGGTGGTGCATAGTAACTATGGAAATATATAGTGGCCTTTGTGTCCGTCTTCTCTTAAAAGACATTGTGTCCTGTGAACTGCAGAAACACATCACTGACCACTTTAATTAAAAAGCAGTGACCCCTGGTGGTAAGAGATGTACACTGTTTCCTTTGTCACCATCTCCAAGGGTGGAGCACAATTAAAGGAACAAAAAGCTATTATTTTTAGGAGAACATGGCTTCTTTTGTGAATATGGAATTTTGAATTTGACTTATTACGTGTAAACTAGGCTGAAGGGAAGAGAAGTTCACATTTAAAATAATGTAAAGGCTAATCAGACAATACTGTAACCTTTTTGTGAAGCAGGGTACCTTAGACACAATGTGCTGTCCTTTCTCATGTATGTGTATATAGTTTGGGTCTGATCTGCTGGGTTTTCCCTTCAAAACTCAACTATCCTGTTCACCACCACCTCCACGATAATAATAAATATAACAGAATAATAATCCAAGTGTTCTTTTATAAAGAACATGTTGTATGTATATAGATTAGGAGAGTTAAATACAAGTTGTTTCTTGAAAATGCTGTTCATGTACAATAGCTGTGAATGAACAATTTAAAGGATTTGCGGGTAATTATTTTTTGTTAATTTTAATCACTATACATTTAGTTTGGTCTAGGAAAATGTTCTTGGTTTTCCCTGTGACTCACATTGTATACAGATCTTTTCCCCCTTTTGACTGTAGCAGTAAAAGTCCTTGAGATGTGAGTTAGTTTCATCTTCTGCAGCTGTGTATCATACAAATTAAGTGCAATACTCATGTTTTTCACGTCATGACTCATGTCATTTCAACATTATTTTATCAGTTACAGACTTTGTAACTGGCTTGAGACACCTGGTTTTCTTACTTTTGCTTAGTACTTTATACAAGTAATTATCTTCACCCTTAAATGCTCAAATGTGAGAAAACTTGCACAGGCAAGATTACTAATGTAAAGAACTGAATACCAAGGCATGATTGAATGGCAATACTGTATTAACGGATGTAAATTTGTAATATTTGTAAAAAAAAGCAATGTGAATTTAAATATATGAATATGCTGCTAAGGTCTGTAAATTGCACTTCAGTGATACCTTAAGTGAATGTTTCTGTTAAAGTGAATAAAAAAAGAAAAAAAGTTTTTCTTCTTTCTTGCAGCACATCATGTGTGTTAGAATACATAAAACACAGTTCCATCTATCTATGTTCTAACCCCTTTATCCAATACACAGTCACAGTGGAGCCAGAGCCTGTACCGGCAAGCAATGGGTGAAAGGCAGTATACACAGTGGACCATCAGTCCATCCAGTCCATCACAGGACACACACAGACACAAACACAAACACAGAAACACTCACACCTGGGCCAATTTTCCCAGGAGCCAAAAGCCTACAAGTATGTTTTTGGGCTGTGGGAGGAAACCAGAATACTCTGAGGAAACCCACACCAAGAAGGTTGACAACATACAGTACTCTATGCAGACAGCACCCCAGTAATTCAACCACTGTGCTGCCCATAATAAGAAACTTGAAAATGCCCATTTAAATCATAATAAGAATATATTTTTAAAAATATGAAGTACAGGATATAGAAAATTCAGCCTATTGGCAAAAAGTCTCTAAAGAGATAACTCTCATTAATTCATTTGATACATTAATTGCATGTAATATGCAATTCGAGTCAAATCAATCTTATTTTAGTATCTGGAAATATGTCTGAAAGCAAAACAAATGAACGCACAGCGATATTACCTTCTCTTGTCTCTGACCCATCAAGCAACCACATTAAAAGTCCCATAATCAATGTTTTCTGACTTAATATAAATACTGTAGGACCAACATTATTTATATGAGAATGCAGACTCAGTTTAAAGCAGGCACATAATACAGTATATACAGTAAGTGAATGCAATATACAGTATAATGTTTGGTGTAATTCATACCTGGATTTCAAAGGAATGTATTATGGAAAATGTGTATAACACAAACATTTGTATTTGATTGTGAGGACAAATACCTAGATACTCAGAAAAGGTACTGTCATAATTAAATTTCAGTAATGGTAATTGAAAACACTTCATAATTAAATTTCAGTAATGGTAACTGAAAACACTTCATACAATATGTAACATTAAAACGCTGTTTTGAATGTTCAACATTTTGCTGAGAATATTTTGGATTTTCTGCTGAAGCATGTTGTTCCTGTCAAAAGAACAGCGTCAACTTCTCATGGGTTTCCTATTGGCACTTCAACAAAGTATGTTTTTTTAATGAACAAGTAATAGGTTTATTCCATGCTAAAAAAAGAAAAAAGAAAACAACGTTTCGGCCATGGAGCCTTCTTCAGGTGTGAGGCTCCACGGTCGAAACGTTGTGTTTTCTTTCTTCTTTTTTCAGCATGGAATAAACCTATTACTTGTTCCTTTGCAGCCTACGCATGCTGACTCAGCTACCCACCTGAACTATGTTTTTTTATTTTTTTTATTTTTAAATGTCTGGAAAGTGTTTCAAATTGGACATACAGGTTTAAATATGTGAGGCAAGAGAGTAACACGGGCAAAAAATACATTTTCTCCCCCGTGTCTTGCGCTGACCAAGAGAACTGTATGGTACCATAAATACTTCTGCCTATTTTCACAAACAGGCCACAAAAAATATTAGAAACCAAGACTTTTCCCTGAAGGGTATATATTTAGAAATTGTTATCTTTCGAGCCTTGTGACAGGTGTCAAACAGAGAACCCAAGGAATTAACTAAACTGTAAAAAAACATCATTTTCTGCCTGCAGTCGCTGTGCAATTCCCTGAAGGCAGGAGTCTGCGGTACAATAAACATTGTAATTGACAATTTTTTAGGCATTGACTGGGCACGGATACTGAACTGTAATCTAATAGTGAGCAGAACCAGATAACTATGAATCATGACTGCAAGAGAAACAGGTTCAAGTTAGTCAAGCCTTCATTAAATCGTGAAAAAATAAATTTTAACTGATCCTGTACTGATAGTGCTACAGTATAATCTGTAATTAAAATGACTGATATAGTCATATAAAATGTCCAAACATTAAACACAGATCATAATAAATTATGTGGCAAAACAATTATATTAATCAAATGAACGTGCAAAACTATGAACTTTTTATGCATTTACAGTATGCTGAAAAATAACATGAGCAACGTACAAATATTCATTACCTTAGCAGGTGATGTAACTACATTAATGAACAATACCATCTGCTCAACTGATCAATTTCATTAACTCTGGGGCAGCACTTCAATATTAGAAAGGTGCAGGAATGCATTCATGTAGCTCCTTATTCTATAAAGAAGATACTTGGGTCAGAAATTAAAAAACACAGAAATTAGAGAGATACACCAGAAGACAAGGTACCAGAGGGCTTCGTGTTTTCCTTGTTGTACAACCCCAGAATTGTACAAAGCCTGTGGGTTATAAAAAAAAAAATCCAGAAGAGTCTGCCTGTGATCGATGACATTTAGTTTTGCAAAACAAGAAAGTAATGAATGTGCAAGTGCTTTTGAGCTGTGACAGTGAACAAGATAAATCTGCTACAGTTCTGGATTTACTGAATGCCTGCAGTTTAAAACACATATAATCATTGCATATGGTCAGTGTTCTTACTTCATACACTCAGATTTTGATTGCAGGATATTACTGTAATGGAAAAGGGAAACATTTGGTTTTTTTTATAATGCTATCTGCATTTTACAATGAAAAAATGTGAGATGAATGTCTAAATTAAATGTTATAAATACTGTACTGAGAAAAAGCTATGTATTAAAGTATGTTTCATCATTTATAAGACAAACAGAACACAGACCAAAAAAGCAGTCTAAGTTATATTGAAATTAAAACACCAATTTGTACAGATTTTAAGGAATATGCAAACACTCTGCAAACATTACATATAATATAGCCATAGTGTTCAACAGAGAAATTCTCACTGGATGAGGGAAAGCCAGTGTTTTTTACCACTCAAAAGCATACTCACAGCTATGTATCTAGGCTTTAAAAAAAACAAACTTGTTAACAGCACGATGAAATGGCAAACTTGTAGCAGAAAGGTGGCCCAATCTGGATTGGGCTGTTGATTTGCAGACACTCATGAATCAATCCTCAGGCTTCCTCTGTGGGATCAATTATAGTCCCAAACTTAAAGGATTTTAGATATAAATCAACCACTAAGAACTGAAAAGCCTCCCTGAGAAGCACCATGCATCATTGCCTACTGACTGTTAATCTGCACCTGTATTTATTAGATTTGGCGGTAGTCCTATGTTGCAGTGTTGGCTATCCACCATGAAGAATTACACGAGATCTGCCAGAAAGCTGTATTAAAGAGTTAATCAATTTTTATTTACTCACTTGTACTTATTTTCCCTTTACTTAGAACTGTTGTAATGATTTTCTTTTGTCTTTTTTTACTGGTTCGTATTGATACCTGCCATATTGAGAAAAAAACTCTACTAGCACCCCTCCTCCTTGAAAAGTGTATACTTTTATACATTTCCCACAGCACTTTCCAAGACTAAGGTACATGAACAGTACCAGCCCGTGTTACTACAGAACCCTTGTGCACAAGACCATGTGACCAGATACTGATGTGTTTGTGCTTGGTATTTTGATGCAGATGTGTTAATGTTGTGTCTGTGATGCTTTGTTATTATGACAGGGCTGTATATAAAGTCTGCCTTACACACAATGCTATTGTTATACTGACAGTTGCAACCTACCAATGATAACAAAAAGACCATGAAAACATATTTTTTCTATTTTGTTCAATTAAAGAGGTGCACTGATGCCAATGTGGTCTCTGAAAATGAAGCTATAACTAGACAACAGACTGTAGATTTAAGAAGAAGTCCATATAAATTGCATGTCATATGCATCTTTACAAAATACAACCTTCTTTATTATTCACATATAAATATATTATTCTATAAATATGATTTGATTCTAATTGAACAAGGATTTGTTGAGTTATCCCTCCATGATTCTGACAAAGTCTAGTCACTGTTATATGCAGCTGTAAACTGGCTACTGTTATGAATTCTGCATAGAATGGCCTGTCTGCTAAAAGTGATTGGATGAAGATAATACATAAAAGTATCTAAAATGTCTGATTTAGTTTTTACCAAAAAATTAAAGACATCTACAGAACAGAAGACTTAAATATCTCATGATCAAGGCATCTTGACATCCCTCTAACTTATATTGTGATCTTTTGTGATTCCACATTATTACATTTTCTAACATTGTAATAAAAAGAAATCTCTTTCATGAGCAATGTGATGAATATGTGAATTAACATGAAAAGCAGCAATATCTAATCGACAGATCATTTCTTTGAAATACTTTGATGCACAGACTACAAATTCTAATTAAACTGTTTCCTAGATTTTTAAATTCCTTACATTTGTTCAGCTTTTTTTGTGTTTACATTCATTTTCATGTCTCCATTTAATCTGACTTCTAAATCATGGCAAAAAAAAATTAATTAACTGAACGCAAGCACAAAGCACCACTAAAAAACAGCATTTAGGTGAACAAAGTGTAATCACAATTTACTAGGCAAAGCTTCACAGCTTCACAGCTTATGCAAGTCATTCATAATGTAAATGTGCCAAAACAAACTCTGTTGGAAAAAAGAGAAAGAAAGATCTGATATCAACTTTTTGGTTGTATTTTCCTAATTGGGAAACACAAGATATGATATTTACACTGCGTCCTTAAAAAAGCTGACTAACGTGTTTTTTTAGGGATTAACATCTTTCACATTTGTATTCCTTTAAACATTAAATTGTAGATTGCAGAAACCCTTATATTCTTTTTCATACAGTATAAAAGAAAAGATAAGGAAATATATTTGGACTGTAGGGCAGTACAGGGGTAAGGCTACAAACACTCAATACTCAAAAATTCTCAACAAAATCAGCCTAGTAAGCTGATGAGCAAAAAAAAGGTCTAATTTAAACATTCCCAATGCCACTTAACTAGCAGCTAAAGATGTCACCATTTTATGTGTATATCAATAAATACTTCAACAGCAGTAATGATTAAAATATGGTAATTTGGGGTAAAGAGAATATTTCCTGAAATT